GAGAACGGTCCGCGATGACCTATGAAAATGCAATTATGTGGGAAGGTAGTGCGGTCCGGAGTGGACAACCCTGTGCCAGTTTCGCGGCGGAAAGTTGTACGGTAAAGGGATTAAGGCGCAAAGTTGCTTCAGTGGTACATCCCTTTTCCAGTGACTCCGCCTCCAGACTCCGCCTCCAAAGTCGGCCTTCCAGCCAAAAGTAATGCTCCCGGGCAAGTATCATGGAGTGGATGCATTCAATGTCTCTTGTAGAGTCATAGGGTTCATTACTGGGAATCAGCCGACGGGAATCGTCCCAGCGCGGTCTTTTCGGTCTTTTACCTCTACAGTTGTTTGAGGCTAGAGGAGGCCTGACGAATGCGTTTCCAACGTTCCCTTTGGCATTTTCTCTTCATAGCGGTTCACTTGGCGAATTTTCTTCCACATTTCTGCAACATCACCTAGGCTTTTTATCGCAAAAGAGCGTTGAAAACACCTTTAATTGTAATCTCCAGCTTCTCTCTTCTTGCAACCTCGGCATGTTAGTAAGTGTTTCAGTTTTCTTGTGCCGTACGAGGTTGTCAGGTGGAACATTTATTTAAAGGCCTAAGTTTCGACACAATCGTCGTCTCAGAGCCTTAACGTTGTTTCAATATCAGATTTTTGCAACTCTACGGCCACCAATGCACCTTCGCCAACTCTAGCGGTTCCGACGTCGTGTCAGGAACCTCTTGAGAAGACGCCAACATCGCAAGAAACAGACTTTACCAATGTTCCACCGTTTAAGCGGATAGGTTCCGCTGCACAGCTAGACGGCTGTTAGTAGGAAAATAACGTCTACGTTTGTCTCGTGTAGTGACATATCCGAGACGTGACGTGCGGCTCCTCGATATGTCACTATCGAACAAAACGTAGTCGGTCATTTCCTAACTAACATCGGCCCTAGTGTGTCAGAGACCTCTCGCTTAAACGTGCGAACCATTGGTAAGTTCTGTTTCTTGCGATGTTGGCGTCTTCTCAAGAGGTTCCTGACACGACGTCGGAACCGCTAGAGTGGACGAGGTGCTTGGTGGGGTAGGTTGCAAAATCTAATACTTGAAACACGTTCAGTTAGGAGCAGGAAGAGCGCGCCGCGGGCGGCCAGCGCGCCGCGCAGCCGAGCCGTCCGCACAGGGAAGACTAGAGCGAGACCGAACCGCCGGCGGGCGGGCATCGGGGTCTGGAGTGGCCCCTCGAGACCGACGATTGTGTCGAAACGTTAGTCCTTTAACTAAAATTTCAACCCTGACAACCTCGTACGGCACAAGAAAACTGAAACACCTTTAATTGTACCCTCGCTAAGAATTCTACCAGCAAAAGGCCAAAATACAGCGTTTTGGGGAGAAGTCAGCTGATTCTTTTTGATGAATCCTATGATCATACAGGAGACAGTTGGGCAGGCTACTTTCATGCTATTTGACCGGAAAGCCTACAATGAAGGCTGCTCTGGAGGTGAGTCACTGGAAAAAGGAGCAAGTCATGATGAGCACTTGCGATGTAACCTGCTTTACACGGTTATACCCTTCCGCCAAACTGGCTGAAGGTTATCTAATGCGGAACACACTAACCTTCCACACGGTCTTTTTCATTTTCATTGGTCATTACGGACTGTTCCTATACAATGAGACGTATTCATGAGTGAGATGAGCACCTGAGTCTTCGGCAAATCGCGCCTGCACATCTATTTCCACTGCGAGAAATCGACTAGCTGTGAAATGGGTGGAAGGGAGGGCTATCATAGAAGTACGGAGGCATCCATTTATTAGGTTATATAGTTTGCTGAGAAATTGTATTATATAGACGTTCATAGTAAGTTTTTAGAGGAAGTAGCAAAGTCAGCATCCTATCAGTCAGCGTCTCTAGCATAAGGGTTCAATAATCAATTCTCTTGATGAGAAATGTCAAAGTACTGGGGAGCTTTATTCACCTCAATTTCACCTGTTACTCTAAAATGACTACTGTGATTTGAACTTGAGACTCACCTTGATTCCAGGGTCATCCCAGCAGGGTAGGAACGATCTTGCCATTGTGGGCTCAAACTTCGTGGTGAATGACGACACCACCGAAGAGTTGCTATCCTAAGATTCATAAAAAGTGAGAACTTATACAAACGTCAATTAATGGGGACCAGAGGGGAGCTATCACTCACCGAGTCCATTTCATAGTAGCAGTGCACACCTCCTTCCTGATCACATATTGTTATATTGTATTCAATCTCTAACATATACCTGAAAATATTTGGATTCTAATGCTTTACAAAATCTATTTTAAAGTCCACAAGAGCTTAGTGTATAACCACCTTCCCCTCTTCAATCGCTCCTTGAGAACAATACGAGCCAGTTTCTTCTGATCTTCCCTTCTCAGAGTTTTCGGGTAGACTCTTTTCCCTGAATCTTGAATTGTTGGGATCAGCAATGAGCAACTTTCGAATGTAATGACACCTTCTTTTCTCAAGCGAATCCTGTCGATGTTCACTCGTGGACCAACATGGAAGAGAATTTCGTCGTCGGTGGAATTCCCGAAAGACTCCAGGTGCACCGTCAAACTTCCACGTACCATCTTCTGATTAAATTTGGTCAAATCCAGCTGAAATCGTCAAGGTCATGATCCGAGCTATAGGGCTGCGTTCATACTTTGCAGCAGCTTCCACCAGCGACTGATAGCGTCCACTAGCGTTCCGAGCGTCCGGCAGCGTCAGCGACTAGGAAAGTATAGATATCGATCTAGCGCCTACCAGCGTCTGCCAGCTCCACAGGCGACCAGCAGCCTTTCGAAGGCTAGGGAACTATGGATATCGATCTATCGTCTGCGAGGGTCTGCCAGCGTCTTCCAGCAGACTGCTGGTCGAAATTATAAGGCGATAGGAGGGTGCCAGCTGTCTGCTCCCCTCCCTCGCCCCATACTTTCAACTCCCGAACACTGCTGGTCGCTGGCAGACGCTGGTAGACGCTGGCAGACGCTAGATCGATATCTATACTTTCCTAGTTGCTGACGCTGCCGCACGCTCGAAACGCTGGTGGACGCTGCCGCAAACTATGAACGCAGCATAATAATTGTAAAGCTGTTCCCGAGAAGGTAAAATCTCACGTGAAGATCGTAATGAAGAGGTAGAGTGTGTGTGGGCAATGGTACCAATAGGACATCCTGCTTGCTTTTCCCTTGGCGCGCATGTAACTCTTCCATGAACTCGTACGACTCATAAACAGGCGGTTGGACGTCCATCAAAGTGAAGTTTCGGCGCGGTTGGAGCTGAAATCAATCAATTTGTATCTCATAAATAAGGTGCATCAGTGTCGGTGCCACCGTGAAAGCAACCGTGTCGCCTTCGCAACTCATCCGTGCCTGAACTCACCGGAATCAGGCGAGCGTGTGGCGTTAAGGTGGTTAAGGTTAGGTGGGTTAGTGTTGGGCGTTCCGAAGTTGTCAGTAGAGTGACAGTGTCATCACCTTGGTACTGTTGGTTAGTAGTGGAAGGCGGAGAGGTTATGATGTAGATCAACTTAAAGTAGGTTATTCAACTCAAGGAGTGTTTCAGAAATGCTGATGAAAAACCGCCTCAAACCTCATTTTCTGTTGTATTCGAAGTCGTATTTTGCTCGGAAAGCCAATGACCGATAAGGAAGGAGAGAAAGACGGCAAGTATGAAGACGGCGTGAATGAGCAGTACAAGGATGCACCGACGAGCATAGTCCGGTTTTCGATGAGAAACGGACGACAAGTCGGAGATCAGGGAGTCTGAAATCATTTAAACAAGCTTTTCGAGCTAAATAGTATTGAAAGCGAACGTTACTCGTGACACTGCACCAAAGTTGGAAGAAATGTTCATGCCATGCTCCCATACCTTCAGAATTCACTTTACCAATACTTTTTTCTACACGCTACTAAGGGGGGGCTTGTGCTGGGCTTGTGACCAAGGTAATTGTAAGTGGTCAGTCATCATATGCTGGTAAAATCAAATCCAAAACGGTTCTTGCGGAGGGTATAGAGGCAAGGTGGATAGCAGAGAAAACCCTCAGAAATCTACTGACTAAAATTACGGCTAACGCTGACCGGCTGACCGGCTCACAAGCCGAACTGCGTCTCACCAGGAAAGGTCAACAGGTCAGCCCGGCCATTTCCAATGAGGTGCACACCGTTGTACGAGTCTTGGGACGGTGAACTCGAAATCTACCTTCAGAATTTGCGGAACGATTCTCTGAGCGGAGTTATGGAGGTTTTTCTTTACTGTTTTTCTTCTTACGGGCGCGCTGGCGCCGAAGCGTTGGCACATGTAGCGCGACTCACAGCGCTCTTCGCGCAAAACAGGTATCATATTCGTGTTCAGGGGGTCAAATAACCCCTAGGACGTCACCTTAGCAAAATCTGAGCTTCTGACTCAACTTGAGTAGAGCAGTAGAGCGCAACGGATATAAGGAGCATTCTACTAGCAAACTAGTAGGACTCGTGTCCTCAGTTAAGGCGTCATCTTTGCATTGTCAAGAAATATGGCCAACAACCTCTAAGATCTCTGCTGCTGCACTACCCTATAAAAAACTCGCCATCAGGTTATTTTGAAGTTTGACCTATTTAGCCTGTAGAGCTTCTAACTGCATACCCTCGTAAACACGATGTCACAAGGTTTTGGAAAGAATATCATCTATGTTCAGATCCAAGCGATTAAATTACCCTTGGCGTCAAGTTTCTAGCGGAACGATTTTCCACCTTATTTGGAAATGTTCGGCTATTCCATGGGTAACTTAATGCAGCAATACGACCTCACGCCTACCATCGATGAGCTGCGTCTCGGAGTGGATTTCCTCCCGACATCAAGAAAATATCCAGAACGACACAAATAAGAAAGCCACTATCTGTGTTGCAACAAAGACATGTATCTGAAGCGTTATTTCATTTTTTTTCAAATTTTTTTCATTTTCATTTTCACTTTCGAAGACCAGTCATCACCAGTATGCTAGTCATAGTATCGCTGTTAGCTATCAGTCAGCCATGACTATCCATACCCCATTTTTTCGAAGTTGAGTCAGAACCTCAGATTTCGCTAAGGTGACGTCTCTAGGGGTTATTTGACCCCCTGAACACGAATATGATACCTATTTTGCGCGAAGAGCGCTGTGAGTCGCGCTACAGGTGCCAACGCTTCGGCGCCAGCGCGCCCGTAAGAAGAAAAACAGTAAAGAAAAACCTCCATAACTCCGCTCAGAGAATCGTTCCGCAAATTTTGAAGATAGTTTGAGTTCACCGTGTCAAGATGAGTACAATGATGTGCATCTCATTGCATATGGCCGGGCTGACCTGTTGACCTTTCCTGGTCAGAGTACTCTCTCCTTTATCGAACAGCAAGTTTGTATTCCATTAGGTGGCTTCAAAAAAACCCAAAAAATCCGGTATCAAAAATGAACTACTGGTGGTGCAGGAATTTTTATGTATCCTCTCATATATGAGAGTCAAAACGGGGATGATCCTCTTCATACGTTGTCGACAACGGTTGAGGTGATGTGCAGAGCTTACATTCTGCCTGTCTTGAATTCTGAATGAGAACCACTTTTGAAGAACCTTTTTCTGAAATCACTAAATAACAAGCGGGTTGATCCCGTGATTCAATCGGAATAATACTCCCGCCTACCATTAGTAAACTCAAAACCCGATTCTTCTGGTGAGCACCACTGAAACTTGACACCGTTTTTATGGTTTGCTCTGCATTCACAAAGTACACAGAACAATGTTTACTACTGGCTGAATGGGATTTCCATTGAAAAGCGTTGTGCGATTCAATTGCTTCCTGTAAAGCTCCACTGAAAACTGAAAGCATAAATAACATACTAAAAGCTGACGTGGCCAA